AATGCATGGTAGCACCGGGATCTGTGCTGACGTTCCTAAACACCTCCGGACAGCCGCGACCACCAAGGAGTTGGTCGGCTGGCCACGGGGCCCGGGTTCGATTCCTGTCAGAGATCGCTCTTTTGTTTACGAATTCTTCGCTCGGCCGAAGTCAAGGCGCCCGGCGAGTTTCGCATTCCAGTCCCGTACGGGAACGGAACGCTGTTCACGCACTTTAGTTTTTTGGGGCCATCTACGGTAGCATCGACGTCTCCAACACCGCCTCCGATGCAGCACGCACGGCCGAGCGCATACCACATCGCGGTCAGGCGGCCTCTGGTATCGGGTTCGATTCCCGGCAAAGTGCCTCGCCCCCCAAACTTCTTTTTATGTTTAAATAGTGCCACAGCGGAGACCAGGACGCAGCACGTTCGAAATTGTTCTTGGTCGTCACCTTTTAGTCCAAGTCCAGTCCATGTCAGTCCCATGTCCAGTCCATGTCTCTTACATATTCTATTGCTAATGTATAATGGTTGTGGGACGTCGATGCTACCGTAAATCCGAATTAAAAACTGAAGTGCGTGAAAATCGTTCTACTCCCTTCCAAGACTAGAATGCGAAACTCGCCGCGCGCCTCGGCTTCGGCCGAGCGAAGAATTCGTAAACAAAAATAGCGATCTCCGACGGGAATCGAACCCGGGCCCTGTAGCCACCCGATCAACGCCTTAGTGGTCGTGGCTGTCCGTAGGTGTTGAGGAACGTCAGCACAGATTCCGGTGCTAGCATGCATTGAAAAGGAAACGAAAAAGTAAAAAAAATGGAGGTGGTCGCTGCGTCTAGAACCAGCTTCCTCTTGTGCATCATTTACGCACCTTAGACCACGCACGCACAGGGACCGACTACGAACTGTGAGTAATGGCTCCGGTGCTATTAGAGAATGAAACCGAAACGATTATAAGACAATATAAGCAATCGAGGTACACTGTTAAAAAATCCTACAGGAAATTCTACAGTTTGCCCTGTCATTTTGTCGGTAGGGTCGTGACTGTAATTTTTGATTACAGTCCACTCTGTACAGGATGTACTGTAACTTCGCAAACCGCCTTTTTTGTCAACACAGCACTTGACTTCAACACTGAAGTACAGCCCATAACATAACAGTCTGGCCTGTACATAAAATATACAGGACGGAATGTAGTCAAACTGTAATTCCTTACAGCATTTTTAACAGTGTAGCCGGTGGGGTTCCTACCACCGCCTCCGTGTCCCTTAAACGTACGCGCTATAAAGAGGTGGATAAAATGGCGGACCTTTATGGGTATCGA